CCCGCCCCCGGCCACGTGGGCAGCGGGCCACCCCTCTGAGGGGGGCAGGGGAGGGCAGAGGGGCGACTCTGACCTGAATTTATGCTCGATAAAGGAGGCCCTCGCTGCCTTACCTTCCAAAAGGGGGAGGCTGAGGAGGTCGTTTTTGCAGCTGGCTGTACTGCTCCTGCCGGCCGGGCCCCATCCAGAGCTCCATGCCATGCCCAACCACCTCAGCAGGGCTCTATCTTTCGTCTCTCTGTCCCTCCTCATCCTCCCCTGTTATCCCTCCATATTTATTCCTTTCCCTTCTCCTCCTCCTCCTTTGCCTTGCGCCCTTTCGGTCCAGCCACGCGCGTCGCCGTAACTTATAAAATGTACGTGCGTCTTCATACGGTTTCAAAGGAAGTGAAGGGAAGACATTGTATGTTTCACAGTCTGAAGACGAAATATTGAGTGGGCAAGTGTTTGTTTCAGTTTCTGAAAAACTAGGAGCTAGACTCTAAATGTCGACGCTGTGTTGTAACTTTACAGAAATGATGTTTTGCGCTCAGTGGCGACGCGCGTTCCGTCGCTCCAACCTCCTCCCGTGCTTCTCGTGTTTTTCATCGTCTCCTTTTCTTCCTCCTCCCGCATGTTTCTCCGCCGTCCGTCCGGGATCCTTTTCTTTATTTCTCTTTCGTCGCCATCCCTCACAACAATAGACCGTCGTCCCTTCAACCCCGTAATCAGTTGTTGTTATCACCCAGGCGCTTGTTACGAAAGAGGAGGAGAGGCAGCGGCAGTGGCAGCAGCGGCAGTGGCAGCAGCGGCAGTGGCAGCAGCGGCAGTGGCGGCAGCAGCGGCAGTGTCCCCAACGACCAACAGGCTGGAGATGCTGGCTGGACCCAAACCACAAGACGATGGATCATGTACCCCGGGGGAATTAACCGAAAATAACGCGTATAAAGTACGCGTTTCGTATATGTAGTGAGGCAGGCAGGTTGCTGGATGCTGCCGTGTATCTGATGCTCATCGTCGCGCGGAGGACCCAAAGGACCTTATCACCCTTCTCTCTTGCGATGTTCGCGCTGCTCTATCGCACGACACAAACACCATACCGCCGTATAGCTGTATATACACCTTATAATACTGATATTATTTTCATGTACGGAAAATAACAACAAGAAAAAACAAAACAGAAAAAGCAATAATCACACACAACACACACGAGGTAAAGCGGCGCGCACGCGGCGAGTAGTGAAAAAGTTTGCGCCGTACGAAGCGGAACCAATACAACAAATCAGCGCTCTCGGCAGTCGGGAGATTAATCGGCCGCGATAAACGCTGGTTGTGTAAGCGGCACGGCAGGCCGGCGACGGCGGCAGGCACCCGTGCGCTCTTACGCTCTGCTTGTAGTCGCTGCGCGCGCTCAGCAGCATCATATCGTGCTGCAGTCGCCTGCGCTCGCATGCACAAGGCTATGCGCTCGTGGTCGCAACGCTCGCGCTCTTGTGCGCTTGTGCGCTTTGCCATGAACCCCACGGAGACCTCAACGCACCGACTGCTGACTGCATACGTATTTACCGTCACTAAAAACTGTCCGGGGGCGCGCTGTGTGAGGGGCGTGCCGCACCCCGCCACGCCCCGCCACGCCCCGCCACGCCCTGCCCTGCCTCACTACGTGTCGTAGTGACGCGGGGCGTAGCGTGGCGGGGCGTGGCGGAGCGTGGCGGGGCGTGGCGGGGCGTGGCAGGGGCAGGCAGAGGGTTCTTTTGTTCGTCCGTTGCGGAGCCCGTCTTGGTCCGGAATCACCGCACGTCGACTGCCCTGCCCTGCCCTGCTGCGCCTCCGGGGCCCTCCCTACCCTGCCCTGCCCTGCCCCTGCCCCCTCCCCATCTGGGAGAATCGGAACCCTCCTCTATATCCCGCCCCAACCCTGCCCCAAGCCCTGCCCCAGCAGGCAGGTTGTTTTTACTCTGTGAAAAGAAATAAAAAGCCGGCTCATTATACTTCAATTTATTCGTCGGACGCGTTGATCGCCGTGTCCGAGTCACACGTGACGCAAGAAAGGCGTCATATCCGCAGGCAACAGGTTTATTTACATTACAAAAAATAAATGCTGTCAGCGACTGTTGAAAAGAAAATCTGTTGTTTTGTTTTTTTGTGGCTTGACCTTAGCCGCGCCGGTGAGATGCGCCGTGCGCTCTACGCCAAACACTGCTATAACGTGTCTTATCAAAGTGGCGTTCTCCGCTGAGCGATCGTGCCAAACCGTGTGACACGCGGCCGAGCACGCGGCTCAATCTAGGAGCATCAACATATACTTACGCCATGCGACACACACGTACACGCACACACTAAGAGAGATGACTAAATTGGCGGAACTGTGACGAGGTCGGTTTGTTTATAGATTCGCAATATATGCGTATACACACTCCGGCCGTGAGTATGTAGCTTCCTTTCTCCGCCTGCCGCCGCCGTATGCATAGAAGGGGGGCGGACGCCGCCCCATTGTGCGTTTGCTGTTGGGTTGTTTACGCGAGCTGGGCGCCCCGGCCCGCCACGCCCCGCCACCTCGCCGCCGGCACCACCTCGCGAATAAGCCGTAAAGATATCCCTGGAATGGCAGTCTGGGGCACCTGCTGATATCGATGCATTTGACTCTCGAGCTCGGAGCGCGGCCGTGCGTACGTACGGCGGCAGTGTGCTGTACGGCTGTACGGGCACGGCGGGGTCGCACGCATGCATGTATGCATGGGCTCGGGCTCGCCCAGAAGGGCCTATCTCCGAGTGTGATAACCCCCGCGATACAACAGCCCAACCCCGGGCCGGTCCGCCTCCCCTCCCCCCTTTCTGCTCTTTGTAGGGCCGTAGGGCGTATAGGGCCCCATAACGCTCATTAACGGCTGCACCACAGGCTCTGGCCGGGGGGAACTGATAAGCCTAGAGTCGGGTGATAACGGAAGGCGGAAGAAATAACCACCACGCAGAGTCAGAGATGTGGACGCATTTGTCATCCCTCGGCCCGCAGCAGCTTCCCGTGGTCCAGCAGGCGGGACCAGAGGCGGGGCCGCCTCGAACCGGTCCGCTATCGCTTAATTTTAATTGTTCTTTTTCAGGCTGACGCTCATCCGGAGGGGAGGGAAGGCAAGGCACCCCCGTGACGCCCTGCCCCCGCAGGGGGTGTTGGGCCGTGCCAGCAGCAGGGCGCTCTTGCTGAGCGAAATTGATGGCCAAAGCAGGCCAATTGCAAGCAGTGCGCGGCCCGACGGGCCAAATCGCCGCCAGGTCATTTAATTACCGATCGCATGTCGTTTTGTTTCACTTCTTTTATTTATCGTTATGATTTTCTCGCAGGGTAGTTGGACCCCGCTCCATACCTGCAGCGAATGCGAACCCCCCGACGATCCCTTTGTGATATAGCTCCTTAAAACAAGAAGCCATTAAAGCCCTTCACACGACGGGGCCATTAATATCCGTCGGACGGGGATGAGATTCCTACCCAGAGAGAAAGAGAGCGCTCATCCTGGGTCTATACAATAGGGCGAGGTGAGGCGCGTTCCGCACGTGTCGAGAACCAGCGGTCGCGACCGAGCGGCGATCGGCAGCGCTTCGGCTGCACTTCGTGGTTTGTGAGATCCCTGGGCCGCATAAGCGACGATGGGACACCCCGGCTCGGCTCGGCCCTTAGGACAAAGGCCCGGCTGGACCCGTCGCCGGCTGCACCCGGCTCGAGTCAGGTAGCACTGCTCTACGGCAACTCAAAAGAATCGCGCGCGGTTGCCTCCGAGTGGTGGCGGTGTTGTCTGTCTTTGTCGCACCACTGAATCGGGGCGGGAGCGGGAGAGAGACCTCCGCTGGACTTCGCGGAGGTGTCCCTCCCCCACCGCCGCCCTTCCTAGCCAATAGGCGCGCAGAAGAGAAGTCGCCAGCGCGCTTATGCACGGGGGTCCGGGCCGATGCAGCTCTGAGCCCAGCGGACCCGGCACGGTTTTATTGCCCCCATAAGCGCTCTCTTTCTCTCTGTTCCTACCTGCATTGATGCTAGAGGAGCTAATCCGAAGGGGGAATCACCACTGATGCGAGTGTCATCCAGGGGCATTGGCCGTGGTATTTTTCATTTTAAACAACGAGATCTAATTTCACTCAGCGCTGACCATCATCTACACAAGTGTCCATCTCTTCCATATATTTTTCTTCTCATTTTTTTTTTTTTTTTGCCAGGGACGCGCAAATTTTTCATACACGACGTTGCTGCCGCTGCCGGATGATTTGTTCGCGTTGGTCTGCTGACCGGCAAACCGCAGGACGCGTCGGAGAAGATTATTGCCGGCGGAGGCGAAGGTCAGGGCCGCCACTGGCGCTCAAATCCTCTCTGCAGAGAGTCGTGTCGATCAGCGGTCACCCAGGGAACCTTAGAAAATGGCGCTATACCCTCGTATATCTCGAGCCGCATTTTTGCCAACATACGGTGTATTCATTTATATTTAGCCGATTTCTTTGCTTGGATATTATTGTTTCTTGTCTTGTCTCGGTAAAGAGGAAAGACGGTTGGCAGCACGCAACGCACTCAGGTCGTTACCTATTAGTAGACGATGGGCTGCCATTACCAATGACCTTGTAATATTCGACCCCCGTTATGCGTCGATTGAGCGACCCAGACCAGCTGGGCCCTGGTAAGGTCCGGGGGGGAGAGAGAGAGAGAGAGAGAGAGAGAGAGAGAGAGAGAGAGAGAAGAGTGCAGAAACAACATATTCACTCCCTCCAACCAGATGTCTGCCAGTGCACCGGCACCGGCGTCCCTTTTGCTCGAGGCAAGTGAAATACGATGGAAAATGGGGGTTTCTTTCACGTTTTTTGAATTCTCTCTTTCTCTATCTTCCCTCTTGCTTGTGTTGTGAAGGCACACACATGTGGCTCATGAATACGCACGGCTGAGAGGGGGAGGGG